GAGAGAGAGAGAGAGAGAGAGAGAGAGAGAGAGAGAGAGAGAGAGAGAGAGACCATCTTTGACTAATGACTAATCCTAGAGCCTCATTGTTCTGGGATGAAAGATGTGAAGATAGAAAGGAAGAACAGGTGTAGGCAAACTGGATTTAACCTGTCCAGAGATCCACATGGTTCCAGTGATGTATAACTGAGAGGAAATCAAGTTAAACAGCAAGCTGAGAATGAGGGACTCCTACTAGAAGTAATGAGAGAGAAAGAGAGAGAAGAAAAGTAGAGAAAGCAACATAAAATCAGCTTAACTATTCATGTCAATCAACTTTTCACAGCTATGAAAAAAATCCCTGAGCTAAACAGTTTAAAGAAGAAAATTATTATTTTGACTCACAACTTCAGAGACTGGCATCCATGATATATTGACTCTGAGTTTTCTGGGCCTTCATGAGGCAGAACATCATGTCAGGAAGCACGTGGTAGAGCAAATCTGTGCACCCTATGGCAGTCTGGAAACAGAGAGAAAAGAAATAGGCATGTGACAGATTTCATTTCCCAAAGGGGCAACCTGTAGATCCCCTTCCTGGAGACAGGAAGACCTAGGTTCAAAATCCAGCTTCAGTTCTCATTTCCTCTTTGATATCAGGTAAAACATTTTTTCTTCCCAAGTCTAATTTTTCTGCTTCTCAATTTCTATAACTCCCAACAACCAATAAAGTTAGGAACTCATCAGTTGATTAATCCATTGATGAGGGAAGACCTCATGATCTAATAATTTCCTTAATGCTCCATCTATGAACATTGCTCTATTAGGGACCAACCATTAAACGAAGGGGCCACTGAGCAACATTTAAGAAAAAAAAAAAAAGAATGCAGACACATTTCCATGCCTGCATGTGCCTTCTTGTCTGCTCATCCTATGTCCTGTCATGTGGTCTTTTTGCTTTGTTCTGATGAGGTAGGATTTTCACACATGTAATATTTAATGGACTTTCTTTACATTGACATGGCCATGGCCATAGGCCACACAACTAGATGATAGGGAGAATTTTTGACTACAGGAAAAATATGGAATAATCTAGAAGAAATTAGTATGTTGTGATTGTGACAAGTTCTTTCTCAGCATGCTTTAATTGTTTTCTCCAATGTTTGTAATGCAATCAGATTATATTAAAAATAATGACTGTTAATTAAAAGATTTAATTTAGGCTGAAAATAGTTTTCATTTTTA